TCCATATGAGCAAAACAATCCAGGAACACAAGTAGAGAGGCCATCACTTTTGTGGAAGGTAGCAGGAGTTGACTTAACAGACGACTGCTTCAAATGGACAGTTCTATGTGGCCTGCTCCAGAGTCAGCTCATCAAGCAGCCTGGTGATCCTAGCACCTGAGGGCAGAACCACCAATGGGGTCTAGAGAGAGGTCCTTCGGTAGAGAAAAAGAAAAGTACGTATGTCTCGCTTCATTTCTTACACTACGATCTTCTCTGTTAGAATTCCTCCAACAAATGTCACATTTCAAATTTCAAATCATCAGTATTATAACTGGATTTGTGGAACTTAAATACCGTAGCGAAGCACGGGTATCAGGCTAGTACACAATACAGGCCAGATTTACTATCCTCAGATTAGCTTGAGGGGAAGATGAGGCTACAGGGCTACAATGCCTAAAGCCATCCAGTGACTTCATATCTGGAATGAGATTTGAACCAAGCATCTCCAGGCTCATAGTTTGTACTCTAATGGTTATGCCATATAAGAAGAGGAGAGATGAGACTGGATTCATACCCCGCCCTTCACTACCCAAAGGAGTCTCAGAGCGGTTTACAAACTCCATTCCCTTCCCCTCCCCTCCCCACAACAGACACCCTGTGAGGTAGGTGGGGCTGAGAGAGCTCTGACAGAAACTGCTCTTTTCAAGAACAGCTGTGCCAGAACTATGGCTTGCCCAAGGTCATCCAGCAGGTGCAAGTGGAGGAGTGGGGGAATCAAACCCGCTTCTCCCAGATTAGAGTCCACGCACTTAACCACTACACCAAACTGTGCGTCAACTTCTGCAATATACATGTCTTATGTATTTGGTTATCTTTTCCTGAATATAAAATGTATAAGAACTAGCCATTCATCATCGAATGCACAGGACCTCGTCATCCACTTTGTCAACTAACTTTGCTTTGAGGCAGTTTATATAATTCTACAGCAGTAATCCTAGGCCAGCTTCTCCCATTGAACATAAATGAGTTTACTTCTGAGTCAGACTATGGAGGAAAAGTGCAATATAACCCTACCACAGAAAGATGAAATAATCTCATCCCATCCCAGAGTCATGCTAGTGTTGTATATATTGTTTCAACACCAAGAAAGCATTTGGGTGGTCCGAACAGAGCTACTTGATCTGTTTTGCAGGTCTACAATCTAACCCACAGAGGAAGGACTCATAGAAGCTCAAAGCACTTAGTTTTGACACAGCAGGTGTTGTTTTAAAATTTGGTATCAAATGATAAATGATAGCACGCACATAATGAATTACTGTCCTACTCAAATACTGCATTGCCTTGGCCGTTGCACATTTATGCATTTGTTTTCATCTAAAATACAGCCAAAGTCAAACAGGTGTTTCTGATATTTGGTAAAATTCTTATTTCCCTATATAAAACTTGTGGCAAAATCCTCAACAAGCTTATGTGGAAGCAATTCCCACTGAAATCTATGGGATTCACTCACAAATAAACAGGATTAGGATCAGGATTGTGAAGGTCACTAAAATATGAAACAACAACAACATTTGGTTCCTTCTTTAAAAAGTAATGTTTTACACATATGAAAACAGGGGCCAGTGGAAGGCCCGTTGAGGACATTCCTGTCTAAAGACTCTTTACAAATTCCATTTATAAATGTCTGTCTATGGAATTACTGCAGAACTGAAATGGCTGTAGTGGTCAGCCACAAAGATACAACTTTTTTTAGTTTGTTCTGGGAAAAGCAGAATCCTGTGACAATTATAAGACCCCATATAGGCATTAGCCATTCAGTGTGTTTGCTACTTCTATTACTGCATATTCAAATACCATATATGCCTCACAGAACCTCACATGGGGTCCAAATTGAAGTACTGAGAGCGGGGCCACGGAACCCAGAGAGCCAGCTCTGTGCTTAAAGCACTGAAGAAAATGGTACAGTCCACTTGGGAAGGAGTAATGTGTGTGTTCAAGAACATACATGGGGCTCTGGACCATGAAAACTGCAACACTGAGAAGAGGAAGCATTTAAGCCTAGTTTGTAGTTGCCATCTTGCCTTGCTCAATGCGGAATAAAAATGATTTGGTTTCCAATTTATTATAATTATATTACATATATTTTAGAAATGGCACATCTCTTTCATTTTAAAAAGTGCTGTGCTTATGGTCCCCTTCCCAGTTTAGCTGGAAGATAGATGCAACGAACATGAAGTTGAGCAAACTTCATAGGACGGCGGAAGACCAGAAGGCCTGGCGTGATCTGGTCCATGGGGTCGCGAAGAGTCGGAGTCGAATGTGTGACTGAACAACAACAAATGGTTTTAGACATACACAGAAGAATTCAGCACTTGATTCCTCTTTAAAAACCATATCAGGGTTAAAATATTTTGGCGGCGGGGGGGGGGGAAATCACAACACAATACTGCCCCAAACACTGACAACTGGGCATATTTGTTAATGTGCTGGGCTCATTATTCTGATCAGGGACAATAGGGCACTCTGTTTCCAAATCACAGCTATTTTTCAGAATGTCTGAAAGCAAGTTAGTTAGTCAAAAGCCCAGAAGAAAAAGAAACTGTTAAATCCATTTGTATATTGATTTAACAAAGAAGTATTTCATTCTTCGTCTTCTTTTTTTTCCCTGGGTGTCTTGGAATAATCCTTTTTCTGTCTCCATCCTCCCACTTAGACATTGTTCACAGACTTACTTATTTATGAAGTCTGAAGGTTAGTTCCTACCTGCTGAGAGTAATTAGCCCTGTTCTTTGTGTCCTATGCAATCCTGTCTGATTAAATGTACACATTTGTTTTACTTCTTTTCATGTTCCTTTACTCTCTACTTCTGTTTTCCTGATTGTAAGTTGCAGTGAATTTTTAAAAATTTCTATTTTGCTTGCATCTTTCCTTTAGTATGCAAATTTCTATGTGAACTTATTTTTTTATAATGCATTAGAATTGGTGTTAGCAGTGTCAATCTATTTTTATTTGTTCTTGTTCTTTCCCAGAGCAGAGTTTTCAGGAGATATTCCTCTAAATTCTCTAAATACTGAATCATACATTGGCTTTGTTTTGGAAGCCCTAAGTTCTTGAGTGGCCCTTACTAGGAGCTGTAGGTTAATCTTCTGGGAGAATGTTTGTATTTCATAAAGGTTTTTTAAAAACCCCTTTTAAACTCCCATTCTGTTAGGCAGTTTGCTAATTCGCCTTGAATTTCCTCCGAGTGTCTCTGTGTGTGTTTCTCTTGCCCCTCCTTCATCGCTACTTTTGTTCCTTGGCCATGTTAAAGTTTCCAATTGACTCCTCCATTGTTACAATTTGTCACTGCGGGAAGATCAATTTGTTTTACTCCACTCATCAGCCCAGCAGAATCGGGTGCCAGATGTCATTTTTAGCAGCTACATTCTTCTTCTGCTCCCCAGTTTGCGCCTGTTCCGAGGATGGTCGCTAGCTGGTAGCTGCAAAAGAATGCTCTGCTGCACATTCCTGAACTACATCCCCCCCCCTCCGTCCCCCTCCCCCAATAATCTATATTTGGCCAATTCACTTAGTAGCATGGTTCGGGGACCACACAGCTGGATCGAACACACACGCACGGCAGTGGTTATTCCTCGATCGCTTTCATTTCTAGTTACATTTTTACACAAACAAAACACCCAAGGAAACTTGTCACTCCTGTGTCCGAAGTCTCGCCACCCTTGATTCTCCCGCGCAACAACTGCATTCTCATTCACCCTCTTCCCACCAATCTCCACGTCAGGAGGATGGCACAGTGAGGGTTATTATTTTGATAGAAGATGTCCAGCCTCTAAGGAGCAACCTGGCACTTGGCCCACGCGCATAAGTGCCACCCCCCTGGCAGCCTTCAAGCGCAGCGTAAACTATGCCCCCCCAGGCAACAACAACACTCGCACTCCGTCTTTATTTCTCCCAACAATTTAAGTGGAGGAAACGTATTTCTTTCTTTCTTCCCAAGACATCTACGAGGCACCGTAGAACGGCAAAAAATAATTTTAACACAAGCTTTGCGAAAAGAAAGGCTCCCAGTATCCCTCATGTATGCAGATGTTACAAGTGCTAAAATGGACTAGTGTGTGAAAGTTGAGTGCTCCACAAAGTGCGCGCGCGCGCGCTCATACACACACAAGCGAAGTGCTGCTTCCCCCCCCCCTCCGCCGCCGCCTAATTTTTGTGCAAATTTCCCTCTGAAATACCGTGCCCCAGCTTGTGTTTTGTTTCCTCTCTGCAACTGATAGCTCCTCTCTCCCTCTCACATTGTCTCTACTAGACCATTCCTTTCTTCCTTCTTCCTTCCTTGCTTTCTCTCTCTCTCTCTCTCTCCCTTCTCTTTCCAAAAAGGATCATTGTTAGTTTCTCCATTTCCCCCTCCTCCTGTTTATTTATGCACACGTCACTAGGGAGCCCCCGCCCCTCCTGCATATCATTAAGTGCCTAGTGTGTTTCTTTTTCCCTGTCAATAATCCTGGATCCCAGACTTCTCCGTTCCTCCGGATTTCGATCCCCCTTTTTCTATCTGTCAATCAGCGCCGCCTTTGAACTGAAAAGCTCTCAGTCTAACTTCAACTCACTCAAATCCGAGCGGCACAGGCTCCCTATATCTGCGGCTCCCCCCCCCCCCCACAGCCCCCTTGTGTTTTGGGGTTTTTTGGCATTTTTATACTTCCCCCCCTCCCCCGTTTCTCCCTCCCTCCTTATATAATTTTTTTATTATTATTTTTTGTGTCTGCCCGCTTGTGTCTGTGTGCGCGCTTTACATGCTGATCTGATCTTCCGAAGAAAGAGAGAGAGTGAGAGAGAGAAAATTCAGAAGAAGGAAAAGAAGAAACCCAAAGTCACTGGTGCAAAAGGAAAGGAGCAGGGACACTGCCCTCCCCTCCTCCCTCTTTTCCCCTCCCCAGGAGGAAACAGAAGGGGGGAAAAAAACTTTCACCTTGGACTCTTTTTTGAAAAATCGCAAACTTCCCCCCCTTTTTTTATCCTCCCCCTTTATTTTCTTTTTTCTTTCCCTCCCCTTTTTCTTCTTGCAAAATTGCTGCTGGTGGGATAAGCCAGGAAGAAAATGCCGCAACTAAATGGCGGTGGAGGGGACGATTTGGGGGCGAATGACGAACTGATCTCTTTTAAAGACGAAGGGGAGCAAGAAGAGAAGATCTCGGAGAACTCCTCGGCAGAGAGGGATTTAGCCGATGTCAAGTCGTCTCTAGTCAATGAATCAGAAACGAATCAAAACAGCTCCTCAGACTCGGAGGTAAGACCCCCCCCCCTCAAACACACCTGCCTTACTCCACCTTGGGGTTCACGGGGAGAAGGGAAAGGGGCTGAATGGGGAAAAAAGCTGAGCCTTCGCTCTGAATTGCAACAGTTTCCGATACCCTGATGGCGATTGTCCTGTTTATACATTTGGGGGGCTTAGTTACATGTACTGTTCGTTTGCATCAAGTTTTGCACAAACTTCTTACTTGTTCTTTTTCTCTTGTTCTCCCCCCCCCCCCCTTCCCCATCCACCGGCCTTCTTCCACTCTTCTGCTGGCTTATTTTCTCATGATCCAAGGCGGAGAGGCGGCCTCCGCCTAGGTCCGAAAGTTTCAGAGATAAATCCAGAGAAAGTTTAGAGGAAGGTAAGTGACTGCCAGCTTCCCTCCAGCACCCCCCCTCCCGCGGGGGGAGCATATCTGGAAGCCCCGATGACCCTCCCGCATGTGTGCCCTCTGTGGACGCAAAACTTTGGAGTTTTTGATCCCGATAAATACTTTCTAACCGTGATTTCCCCCTCTTATTTTGTCCTTTCTCCTCGCTGCCCCGCCATGTTAGCTGCGAAAAGGCAAGATGGAGGGCTGTTTAAGGGCCCACCGTACCCTGGGTATCCCTTTATAATGATCCCCGACCTGACCGGCCCATACCTCCCCAATGGCTCACTCTCGCCCACGGCAAGAACGGTAAGTAGCATTTTAGTGGCTTTTCCGCGGCGATCCTGCGTTTCCCTCTCTGCCCCCCCCTCCCCAGCGCCGAAGTCCCCTGATGGCTCGTGCATGTTCCACTCGTTCTTCCCCCACCCCCACCCCCCGGCCGTGGTACTGCCAGAAACTTTCCCAAACTTTTTGTGCCTTCCGCAGGAATAGAGGGTTTGTTTACACTTCGCCATATTTATTTCTTTACTTTCAGTTGTGTGTGTGCGGAGCTCGCTAGGATCGCCTGAGTTTTATTTTTCTGTTGTTGTTGTCATAATAAAAATATTCAAGAGTTTTCGCTCCCGCCGCCTCCTCCTCCAAGCAGCGGACCCTCCGATCTAATTTCCACAAAACTATGTGATTTCTATAGTGCTCTGTTTTCTTCTGCCCTCTTGAGTGGCGACTTGGTTTCTCTCTCTCTCCCCTCCCCCTTTTCTTTCGTCCCCCTTAACCCTTTACTGGCTGAACTTTCCAGAGAGACTAATTTGCTGGGATAGTAGCCGCTGAGTGATTAGCGTTTCTTAAATTTAATTCTTTTTTTTTTTTTTTAAAGGAACTTTCTGTTTGAAATATATTTTGGGTTATGAGTGGATTACTTTTTATTCTGTTCCTCAGAAGTTGTAGGAGAAGTTTGCACATCTCTTTGGGAATGGGGAAATACTTAACAATATTTACAAAAGACAAATACTTACAAAAGACAAAATAATTTCTTTTTTTTAAAAAAACAGATCCTAGCTGTCAGTCTCTTGGATGTGAACTACCATTTCCCGTTTTAAAATGTTCACAAGAAGCAAGTCCACTCTTCCCTAACCTGCACAGACTGCTTTTATTGTGTCAGGGAGGAATTTTTTAAATAAATTCCACTTTTTAATTGTGTGTAGCTGAGTAGAGAAAGGCAGAAGGATTTGTGTAAACAGACCCCCCCCCCCCTTTAGCCTTCAATGAAGGCAAGCCTTCACTTGACAGAATTTTTTAAAACAATATTCTTACTGAATGCATATGCTTTTCCTTTGTGGGTGTGGCAGAAAGGTCAAAAGGTGTGGCAATATTGAAAGGAAGGACTGAATTGCTGTAGCCCTCAGATTGTAGTTTTATTAAACTTTTGAGAGGTGTCAAGGGTTGGCTGGCATTCCCACATTACCTCATGGATTTATGCCAACTCTGTTCCCTCTGCCTAGGCATAATATATTCTTCATTAGCCTTAAAAAAAGAGAAAAGAAATGACTTTAGAAATAAACCATGAGTGCTAATGTCCTTGGGGGAATACAGAACTTGTATGCACTTGGCCTGTTACCAGCTTTTTTTTAATATGTTAGTTGAAGTGGTTCTTCTTCAACCCTGCCCACTTCTCTCTCCTCAAAACTGTAATTTACCTGCTCACCTCTTTGGATTTTGGTGGCAATACAAGACAGCAGTTTGAAATAGTAGTAATAATACTGTTAAGTAGATGCTGAATCTGTGCTAGTGTCCACCTACTATATGGGATATTTTCACTGTTGCACACTTACAAGTGTTTTTTAAGGAATTTGAAACCTTAAACTATTAAATCAGGCTTGTTTTTCACCTAGTCCAAATTCAAATGAGACACTGCAGAGAGAAAGGAGGACAAAATAGTGTTTATGTATGTATTTTTAAATGTTTTCAAGGATGAGGTTAACCCAGTCATGAGATTTTATAATTGATTTTTATTTTTGGGGCTATGGTCTTGGAAAGTAGATATTTTGATAACCACAGGTTTTAACATAATGTAAAAGTGAGGCTGACTCGATTTTGTAATTGGAGAGATGATGGGATAGGTAAACTGTGCTACATGTTGGTAGGAATATGTGGTTATTCTGTGGTTGTTTAAATTATGTACTTTGAAAGCACAAAGTTATTTCAGCATTTCTCTAAGTAGGTTTTATTTACAACAGTAAATAATTTTGGAAATTTTAATTAGTCTAACAGAGGACCCTGGACAAATATTTTTCTTCAAAAAATGGATAAAATATGCATTTTGTTTCCATATCTGACATTTATTTGCATGTTTATTTAGCAGCATGTTATAGTTACTACTTTATCTGATCTACCACCTTTTGACATTAATGAGAACTATGTGTACGGGTGTTTGAACAACCTTTGTATCAGGCCCTCCATATTTATTAATTAATGGAAACAATTCTTTCTCCCATACTGAAACATCCTTCGAGCATAATGCACTGTTCTATGAATTTTATACATTTATTTTATTGTTAACATAACAGGTAACCTTGTTCTGTATCATCAGAAAAATACAAAAGGCAGTTTCCATATTCATTAAGCAATTTTATTGTTTCCACGTCAGCCATCTCTGCCTGTTCCAGTGCTTTGCTCGTGTCTTCGTTATACTTGTGGATGCAAATTTAATTATGAGTTTTAAAGACAATTCACTATTTGTTTATGCCACAAAGTATAACAACCTTTGATGAAGTTGGTTCTCTGTTACACTGTTCAAAGTGTGTGCCTTGAGCTGAAGAATTTTTTTTTGATGCAATGTATAAATATGTAAATAACTGCATAGATTTTTAGGTACAGGTAGAAATAACATATAGCATAGATGGGGCGTAGTATTTTAAAAGTATTTGGCAGTCTCGTCTTTTTATTTTATTTAGAAGAGCCCTTGTTATTTTTAAACATATCTTTCAGTTCTTTAATGTTTTCCAGCTGTTTGCTAGGAATACGGATTTCTGAATTTTATGTTTTAAAGAATGTAAAGAATTGTGAAGTATCATTAAATTTGCTTGTGATGAATAATACATTACTTCAGGAATAATGCGTTAATTGTTGAAGACTCCATAAAGCTTGATAGCAAGAATTTTATTTTAAAATGACAAAGATTCTTCTGCATAATGATAATTTTGCCTTTGATAAAGTAATATGCCTGGCTTTTGAGAGGACCAATGTGCATTAAGGAATGTTCTATTACAAATGAGACTACTCTTGGATAGGGACCCTGGCAGTGGTGCAGTGGATAATAAGGAAAACTATATTTCTGAATTTTAAAGTAGAACCATTAAGATGTAATCCTGGTTGTGAAAATAATTTTACTATTAATTTATTATTTTATTAATGTTGCTGCATGTGCCTCCCCAATTGTTTGCTTTCTGCCTGCAGAAGGGTGAAATTTGTTTTCAGAGTGGTCACATATGGAACATCTTGCATTTGTATCTGAACTTAGAGTGCTTTTGGGTCTGACAATATAGGACAGATCTATTTGTGGTATGTTGAATGGTTGGGAACAGAAATATTTAAAATGATGCCTTGGAATCCCCCCCCCCCGTTTTATCCTTTGAATCAAACAATATAATCTCCTGCAAATGAATATAGATGCCAGGGTGCAAAGAGTTAATGGAGCCCCCCTTCCCCTCCATTGAATTGTTTTGACAACACTTTTCAAAAGTGTGACATTGGGAGCCCCTGCAATACAATGTAATATTACTGTAATTACACAGGTCATTACATTTCAAATAGAGAACAATGAAATGCTTATCATGCTGAAAAAAGAACAGGTGTTCTTACCCTTCTTTGGTATTTATGCTAATTTGTTTTTCATCTCTAGAAATATTTATGGCTTAGCATTGTTAAGGTTTCTGTTTCCCATGTGATGGTTTTGATTCTTACTAATCTTTAGGGTTGAAGGCTTGAATGTTGAAATAAGGGTTATTGTGTTAAAATAGTTGGTGGGTGTTCACAATGTACGTACAATTTTAGAATGTCAGTGCGCTAGTGCTTCACGGTGTGTATAAGCTATTCATTGAAGTGTACTGTTCACCTTCCTTATGGCTTTAAAACAATGATGGTGAAGTTTTTCCTAGAACAGTGTAGAAATAAGCTATTCACCACAAATGATCTTCTGACACCAATCAAATGAAGCGCACAGTCTGAAAAACCCTCTCCGTTCTCAGCAAGGTTAGAACACTGTCTCTGCTTCACAAGTGGCTGGTGATGCATATAACAGCAATGAACATTATTAAGTTATTCCAAATAGAACACTGAAACTTCTCTAAGATGATTTTATTTTAAAGGGGGGGAAATCACTGAAGGTTTAGCAAACAGCTTTTCACTTGGAAAGAAAAGGAGGACAGTATGATGGTACAGACTGTAGAAGTGATCATATGTAGCAAAATCCCATACTTCCTAAAGCTTTCCAAGCAATATTTACCCAGTCTTCTTTCTCACGTGTACAAATATTGTTTTTTGTTATAAAATAACTTGAAAATATAACACTTTTTAATAAGCACACTAAAGACTCGTCTTTTGGTTTAAAAGTTACAAGGTTTCATGTATTCAAAGAAGCCAGAGAGGTTTCTTGGACGGGGGGGGGGGGGGTCTGGGGAGAGAAAGGACAGCTGCAGGTGTTTTTTTTGTTTTTTTTGCATGGATGTGTGTCTTTCTGCACCATGACTAAAAGTGCAAGGCCCCCATTTCCAGCTGTCTGGCAGTTATGTGGAAGTTGGATTATTGGCTGTTAAGCATGAGACAACCTGGATTTAGTGAAAGCTTTTCCTGCAGAGGGAGTATGGGGGGGGGGGGAGAGAAGGGAAGTGGTTGCTCTTCAAACATACAGGCAGGCCTTCTTCGGTCCAAAGTGCATAATGGTTTCCGACAAAAGAGCGATCCCAGATAGAGTGTGGATGGGGCATTTTGTTTTGTATGCAGGTTTGTAGGTGGAATTAGAATATTCCTCTTCCCACACCTTACCTGATGTGGGAACTTTCTGTCTCTTGCTGCTACAGACTTAACTACTACAGATACAGCTGCTTTATTGTTTGCATAGTAAGAGAGTTTTGTATTCTTCCAAGCCTTTTTTTGGTGTGTGTTCATTTGTTTTCTCTTTGTACTGAGGTATGGTAAATATGCAAGCAGAGCCTTGCCTGTTGAGTCCTAATTGGGCACGTTTGTGAAGGAAATGGTTAATTTTACAACCAAAGGCAAACTTGCACCTCAACAGGTCTGCTGAAAGAAATGTG